GTGAAGTATGGATTTGATCAGTGAAGCCTAATGAGTTCTTCAACTCTCTTGCACAACTCTTCCACTTGAACATCCATACCTTTAGAGATCTCCTCCATTTTACTCCTGCTCAAATCCAAAAACGATTCGATAAGATCTCCATCCAAGAAGTTTCTCGCTTCCGCAGTTCTTTTCTCATTGGTGAACGATCTCCATTGCTCGTGGCTTAAACCGCCGACTCCTTTAATCACTTTTCTCAGACTCGTCTGCAGTTTCTCTAGAAACGCGTACTGTTCTTGAGGCAGCGAAGCCATCACTCCAATCACACCGTTGACGGTACCAAAGATGAGAGTCGGTATCTGGCCAGTCTCTGAATCAGGCATCCTCATAACAAGTGAACCATGGCGGAATCGGTTCACAAATTCCCCAAGGTGATACTCACCAACTACTTCCATAGAAGCTCGTTCTTCTTCTGTAGGACCTTCGCTGTTCTTCTTTACTGTGAATAGGTTGTAGCAACTGTCAGCACCGAGGTAGGTGTCATCATCGAGTATCTCAAGTGCCGATATCCAGTTTGCATTATAGTCCCGAGTTCTCTCCTCGATCGCACCTTCCTCGTGCTTTAAAACAAACATAAACGGTTTAGTTAGTGTCCGGTAGCAATCTAAGATTTGACATGTATTCACAAGAAGCTGGATAAAGCAATTTTGTATCAGAAACTTTTACCTTGTAGATCAAAAAGGAGATTGATTTCATGAGATCACCACCGGCGATGAAGTCTCCACGGGTCTGCACGAAGAGAGCTAGTATGTGACCGTGATGTCCACATTCAGACTGGAGCTCACGAGTTCCACCATCCCGCACCATCCATTTATACAACTGAATTTTCTGATTAATAGCAGCAAGAAGTTTGCCATTGAAGGCATTAAGAGAGTAAACAGCTCCCTCAGTTTCCTTCTCTGCAATAAGCTGCAATCTCCCTTCTTCAACTATAAACACAAGTATCCTTCCCTACATTCACAAACCAAACAAAAAAAATATAAAATTTTAATACAAACAAAGTAAAGAGTCGAGTGTCTAACTGAAACTGATACCTTAGTCGGTCCATTTTCTTTGGGCAAAACATATGCCGTACCAACACAGTAGTAGGCATTTTTATCGTCTGTAAACGAGCAGCTCAGTATGGAGCAACCGTATTCAAAGGCGTCCAAAGGGTAAGTTGACAAAAAGTCAAAAGTTTGGTCATCCAGCAGACGGACAAAATGCATTTCAGATTCTTCGGCACTCGGGTGGTTTCTCACACTGCAGATAGCAAATGTTCGTGATTGCTTCTGATGGCAGATACGACGAGCGTGCTCTCCAACAGGAATAGTGCGTATATGAAGCTTCTGAATATCATTGATGGTGCCAATAGTAAGTTCGCCTTCCCTGGCAATTGCTAGACTGCCCATGGAAGAGAAGCAGAACCAGATTTAACCACAATGCACATCGATCCCAAAGGAAAAAAGTGAGGAAGAAATTAATTTACCTGTCTGGAAAGGCAGCAGAGTTAAAAGGACATAAATGACTAACTTCTTTCAGATTCACGTTGCTGTATACCAGCTTCTTGTTGTTGCTATATATAACAGCTGGTCTATCTGAAGCAGCAAAGACATGCGTTGCACTTTTAGATGAAAATGTACGCAGAGTTATAGGCTGAGTCCCCAGTGATACTTTTTTCGATCTCGTAATTCCCCACTACTAGTATCCAACTGGAAGTTTAAGAGATGACCATCTCCAAGAGCACAGAGCAAGTAAGATATCTGTGACAAATGAAATACCACCGTTATTAGTATGGCAACCAAAGGGTGCATTACAATAAAGACGGTCATTTCACAAAAAATTGAAGAAAATCATACCCCTTCGAATGCACAAAGAAGAACAGATCGGGGAATTATCTCTCCTCCTAGTTGCTCCTTAGTAATAAGAGTCAAGTCCGGCAGCACAAAAATCCTCACAGTTATATCTGTCCACATCCCCACTGCAGCTAGCTGACTGTAATTAGGATTATCGCCAATGGGATTCATATCAATACAAGAAACCTCGTACTCCAACAGGACATGTTTCACTTCCGTCAATGTCCCATCTCCAATCTCTATATAGACCAAATGCCCACCTCCAGTTGCCAAAAGAACATAACAAGTATATCATTCAAAATCATATTGTATTGTATTGTCTAGAAACGAGAAAAATACTGAATTTACAAGTTTAAGAAAGAGACAATTTGTCCAAAAATTCGTAGGAGACGCTATAGAAATCCTAGAGAAAGAAAGACAAACCTGGCTGGCATTAGAAGTTGCAACATTAACAGTGAATCCAGCAGGGGCATCCCATTTATTCCGCAATTCCCTAGTTGTAGAACTGACTAATCTAACAGAATTTGAAGTGACCTGATTACGAAAAGACAGCCGTTAGTGCATCCTACAGGGAAATATAGGAGAGAACCATATACCAGACAGGAAACTATGCCTGAAGAAAATAACAAAAGCACATCTACATTTGATTTGCTTTGGAAGACCAAAGGCCGAAAAATGACTACTGATTAACCATAAATCAATAACACATTGTACTGCAGGGAAAGCCATGAGAGAACGAAACTCTATGTTGATGACCTGGAATAGACTTATCACCTATAAAATGGAGTTCGAGGAAATTTTCCCTGCCTTATTAAATCAAAATTACAAGCAAATGCATAGAAACTAATGAATAAGGGCACGCAAATCACACCTGTACAAGTTGGTTGTAGACCGCATCATGGCAAAATAAAGTCTGCACTTCAGACAGGAAACCTTCAATTTCTGTTTCTTCCATTTCATCCTCTATGTTCATGGCTAGTATACGAGTCTCACTGATAAAACTAACTACGAGGAATGTATCAAAGGCTTCATCAATTGAAGATTTCAGCGACCACATTCCTTAGATACCTTGAAGTTCCACGGACGCCTGTAATACAGAAGAGTCTTAATATATTACATCAGATGAGAAGATTACTCATATGTGACATAAAGACAAAATGAGCTTCATCAAACCTGTTCATTTATTCCTATCCCACTGCGAACTATGCGAAGAGAACCATCCTTATATGCCCCAGAGCAAGTTACAACCTGACCTTGCCCCTGTCTCTCAAGGTCAAGTACACAGAGGCCGACAATAGGCCCCAAGTTGACATAACTTTCTAAAATTTCTACATATGAACCTTTTGCATCCGGCTGCGTATTTAGCTTGATAAGCTGTGAATAGAAAATAAAACATGGAAACGTTCCAATGCTTAATATCTTGTATTTATACTAAAACTCAGAGAAGAGGCAATGTTTTTTTGAAATTTCCTTTCTACGAAAGATTAAGAAGTTACATTTAGAGAGGACTCTCATCAGTTAACAATTTAACACAAATAACTAGACAAGTGGTAACCTTAAAACTGTAAAAGTTTAAATATTTCAAGACCTTTTTTTTTTTACTATGTAATGAGAACCATATTCAATCCTAGTGTACCTGTGAATCTCCATAGCTTGAGCCGACAAAGGCAACAGCATTGTCTAGATACGAGATGGAAGATGCAATAGACGTTTCACCCAAAAGCTCAATTTTGAGGCCAGTGACCCTTCAGATAAATAAAGTCAGAATCGCCACATTTCATTCATTTCAATAGAACGTTGCAATATCAACTTACTTTTCTTTCTCGTGGGTTATAACAAGCAGGTGGAGCAGTCCAGCATGGTCACCAAGAAGATACCTAGAGCCATCAATATCAACTCTTCCATATGCTTTTGTGATGCACTGGACACAAATTGAAGTTCGCGTACCAAAATGAAAATCAAAAGGGGTGCTCAGTGAAAGGATAAACAAATGTTTATTAAACCCTATGACATACAGTCAAAATCACTTACAGGTCTAATTTGTATTGCTTTGAATGCATTGGCACTACAATAGACAATTGTTTCTTCTCCAATGATAAGGACGCCACACAGAGGTTGAGGTACAGGGATCAATAAGTCCGCACCATAGTCGAGATTGTTTTGAGACCATGGTCCTTTAACAAAGTCTTCCTTTAGAGAAACTTCATATGTTTTGACATGACGAGCATCTTTGATGTCCTGAAATACCAAGCATTAGTTTATCCATCTAGTGAAAATTGTAGACTACATTGCGTACACTACATGCATTAGAAAAATAAAAAAGTTGAGAAAAAATACAAATCACTTAAAATACCTACAACACAATACAGCAGAGGTACTTTGCTCAAACTTTGTCAGCAGATATAACAAAAGAAGAAAGATTCCTTTAGACATTAATACTTAAAGTAGGTTCACACAGGGAAGAAACATATATGTATGCTTTTCCAAAAATACTTCCATAGCATATCCAACCTGATAAAGTACTGCGATTGTTGGCCTGGTGCATCCATACAGAAATTTGATATCTAGGACCTGCAACTCCTCCAGCCTGAAATTTAGGCAGCATTGTCAATATTAGATTCAGTTTTCTGGTCCTAACAATAACCACAACTACAAAAAAAACTAGAATATAGACTGAGTCAATTGAGTTAGGACAGAATCTGATGCCTTTTGAAACAAGGCTGCACTAGAACACACACAATGTCGATGACTAACCAATATAAAAATAGTGAAAAATCTAAGCTTGATAGCCTCCAAATTGCAGCATGTTAACTGAAAAACAGTACCTTATGTTGAAAGCTTCCTTGAGCTGTCCTTTGTTGTCAAATGGAATCACCTAATCGAGGAACCCAAAAAACAGAACAAACCTTTATATAATGTGTAAGTTGGGTAAGTCAAGCGATCAATGGAAGTTCAGTGACATAACATAGACAGCAAACTAGCATATCATATGTCAAATTTCTTCACGAAGACCACATCATACCTTAAACAAGCCATCATACAAATGGAGACCAATTAATCTGCAATCAGGATCAATTATACCAATCTGCAAAATCAGTGTCAAGTGAGAAGTCAGCTTCAGGTATGGCACTTATCCCTTAAATTACAGCACAGAGACGACTGAAGAAGAAACATCAAAATCTAACCACTGTGAAAGATACAGTGTACTACTGAACTCAATACCTGATCATTGTCTGTCGGTAGTCCAATACGATCGGAAACATCCCCCATTGCCCTACAAAATGCCGAAACAATATTTAGAATCGGCGTTAAAGGGAATAACAATCAAAAGTAAGCAAAAACTATGTTAGCACCAGAGAATTTTTTCCATGCTTTGGATATACAACAAAATACATGCGAAGAAATGAGCACAGAGTAACTGGGATCCTAGAGCACATTCTAAAAAGATAGGAAATGTCATGAACTTGTATCTAACAGACACGACCTGATACCATGCACTAGTCTGAACATAGTTACTAAAATGTGATCTCTTTCGAACACCAAATTTGAAGAAATATGATAACATAAAGCATATCCCAAGAGAAGTAACAAATCCAGTTGCTTAATTGGCCTTTTTCGTGCCATACTATACCTTGTAACAAGCTCAGAAGATTCAGAATCCCATTGAAGAACACAGAATTTATATCTCTCAATTGTAATGAATAAAAGATCTTGCGCTTCACCCTGCAAAAGAGAAAGTACTATCAATTAACATGGTCACTTGCTCATAATACCACAAAACTGGAAAAAAGTACACAATAAGAAAACTAATACTCACATGGGGACGGAACAATTCAAGAGTTGCAATTCTCCCATATAGAGGAACATCCAGTATAGTCTGCAGAAGTCTAGATTACTCAACATATCTGATCCATATACCTTTCCGGAATAAGACTAAACGAATAACAATTCAAATTTGCACTCTAAAATGAACTTATATCTTAACAACACTGACCAAACGAAGAAACCAAAACAGAATCATTAGAATAATGTAAAATAATGTAATATATGAAGTACCTGAACTCCCTGTGGAGTAAGCAGATGGATCTCGATTCGAGTACATTTCCTGAGACAAATTTATCACTAGCTAGTCAACTAACCAGCTCCAGAAGAAGGTACTAGATGGTAAACATAAAACGAGATATCTTTCACAACAATTTACGGAACTGTATGCAAACAAAACTTGAATTCTCCAGAATTAAGAGTTTTCTTTAACATGAAATCAAGTATCATATGAGGAATCGGTAGTGTACACCTCCAAAAAAATCAACAATCAACCAAATCAGATAATCCCAAAGAAAAGAAAACCCTAAATACTCAGCTCTCAATTCCCAAAGTAGAGGCAATGAGAGTAAAAAAACTAAAGAAATCGACCCGTTGCTTCCCTTAAAGAAACCCTGAACCCGAAATTAACATATGCACACAGAAGAAGAGAGGCAAACAAAAAGAAAGAAGAAGAGAGGGAATTTTCCATACGCAACAATGAGATTGAGTTCTTGAGGACTGGTGAAATTTCCAACGCAATCGTGAGAGACACAGGTTGGTTTTTGAGCCGTAACGACGTAATTCCATACACTCATCTTCTTCTTCTTCTCCGATCAGAAACTAGGGTTTTTGATTTCTATGCGACTCGCGCGAGAAATTTTCCCGCCTCTGTTATATAATAAGCTTCTACGAGACGAGAGAGCGGAGGCGAAGAAGAACGACGCAGAGGTAAACGACAAAAATAACAAGAACAGGCCGGTTCGGTATAGTGAGGACGGTCCGGTTTAGTATTTTGAAAGATTTGATTCTTKGGTCAATATGGGCTTACCGGCCCAATTGATAACAACCCTAAAACCGATTCAACGCCATTTTG